CTGCACCCGTGGAGCCCCACGGGGGAGCAGATGCCCCCCCAGAGCCCCTGGGAGGGACCCAGGTGGGAGGAAGATCGTGGAGGACTGTCTCCCGTGGGAGGGAGCCCCCGGCGGAGCAGGGGAGGAGTGTGAGGAGTCCTCCCCCTGAGGAGGAAGGAGCGGCAGAGACAACGGGTGATGGAGTGACCCCAAGCCCCATCCCTGCCCCTGCGCCGGGGGGGGAGCAGGGAGAGAAATGGGGAGCAAAGCTGAGCCCGGGCAGGAGGGCTGGGGGAAGGGCTTGGAAGCTGTGGTTGTATTTCTCACTGTCCTGCTCTGCCGGATCGGTACCTCGGGGGTGGGGGGTTCAAATTCCATTGCTGTTCTTTCTTCCTCCCCGATGGAGTCTCTCTGGTGCCCCAGACCATAACGGGGGACTCACTCCCCCGAAATTTTCTGTATCCCCCTCATCCTTTGGATTTGTTTTTCCTCCCCATCCCTCTTGGGGAAGGGGTGATGGAGCACCTGGGTAAACCCCTGGGGGTGTGAGGAGGAGGAGAAGGGAAGGGAGGGAGCCGAGCAGGCAGAGCCATGCAGGAGGTGGCTGCTCTTCATGGGCCTTAAGAGCCCCCAGCTGAGCCCCTTTGGCCCCCCACAGGCGCTGGGACAGAGGAGCAGAAGGAGGAGCAGTGCCAGCCCAGGGAAGAGCAGAGGGGGATGCTGCAAGGGCCCCAAGAGGAGCCCCAGAGCCCCACTATGGCTGTGGAGCACGATGGCCAACAGCAGCCCCGTGATACCCAAGGGAGCCGCGGAACAAAAACATCCCAACAACACTCTTTCATTGCGACGTATGCTGATGACTCTCTAGAAGAGGCAATCCAACCATGGAATAGCTCAAGAGAGAAAGAGGAGTTCAAGTGTGAGGACTGTGGGAAGATCTTCACCTGGGAGAGCAAACTGAGTCGTCACCTATGGACCCACATGGGAGAGAAGCCCTACAAGTGTCAGGATTGCAGGAGGGATTTCATGGAGCGTGGGACCCTCTTGTGTCAGCAGAGGACACACAGCAGCGAGAAGTCTTTTGTCTGCAACACTTGCGGGAGATGTTTCACCTGGCTCTCAAACCTCATTTCCCACCAATACATCCACATGGAAGAGAGACCGTACTTCTGCTTGCCCTGTGGGATGACCTTCCGGCAGAGTGACCAACTCACAAAACATCAGGAAACTTTCCTTCATGGTGAGACCTCGGGAGGGTTTGTATAACCCTCTTCTGTATCGCGCTCAGTAACAAAATGGAGAGGAGGGAGTTTGGTGGCTGGGGTTGACCAGATTTTGGTCCGGACCTGGCTGGGCATCCATGTCCCCATGGGCGGGGTGAGTGATGGCTCCTCCTGACTCCTCCTGGTAAATTACTTTTCCCCCCACTCATGGGTTTTCTCACCTTTCCCCCTCCCGGGTTCACCCGCAGAGGGTGGGAGCAGCCAAGAGCCCAACCCTGCCCCATCCCGACCTGCCCCAGCTCCATCCCCGGCCGTCCTGGGGGGTGGGGAGAGTTGTGGAGGGGGGTGTGTTAAAATTGAGGACCAGTGGTGGGAGATGGTCCAGGATGAAGAAGGATGAGGGAAGGAAGAGGACAAAAGGAGGAGGAGGAGGTACATGCGTGAAAGAGTTGTAATGATGGATGAGGGGAGGGGATGAAAGATGAGTCAATTTTGAGCCAGCTCTTGCCAAGGCTGAGGGAAATGGGCGCCTTGCCCCTGGGACAAGGTATTTAAAAAGAAAGAGGTGAAAAAAGGACGAGGAGGAGGGCGGGGGGGGAAATACCTCTGCAAACAGCAAGGTGTTTAAGAGGAAGGACGGCAGGAGGCGGGAGGTGCTCTGAGCAGAGACTGCCCTGCACCCGTGGAGCCCCACGGGGGAGCAGATGCCCCCCCAGAGTCCTTGGGAGGGACCCAGGTGGGAGGAAGATCGTGGAGGACTGTCTCCCGTGGGAGAGAGCCCCCGGCGGAGCAGGGGAGGAGTGTGAGGAGTCCTCCCCCTGAGGAGGAAGGGGCGAGGGAGGATCTGGGTGGGGCTCAAAGCCCAAGACTGTTCTAAGGGCAAGGCCCTGGGGGTGTGAGGAGGAGGAGAAGGGAAGGGAGGGAGCCGAGCAGGCAGAGCCATGCAGTTGGTGGGTGCTCTTCATGTGCCTTAAGAGCCCCCAGCTGACCCCCTTTGGCCCCCCACAGGCGCTGGGACAGAGGAGCAGAAGGAGGAGCAGTGCCAGCCCAGGGAAGAGCAGAGGGGGATGCTGCAAGGGCCCCAAGAGGAGCCCCAGAGCCCCACGGTGGCCGTGGAGCACGATGGCCAACAGCAGCCCCGTGATACGCAAGGCAGCCAAAGACCAAGAAGACTCCGAAAACGCTCATTCAAAGCGATGTATGCTCAAACCAATCATGTCACAACGCAACCACAGAGTACCTCCAGAGAGAAGGAGGAATTCAAGTGTGATGACTGTGGGAAGGTCTTTGCCAGGAGGAGACAACTGACTCGACACCGACACATCCACACAGGAGAGAAGCCCTACAAGTGCCAGGATTGCGGGAAGAGCTTCAGGCTGAGCTGGTTCCTCATGTGTCACCAGAGGACACACACCAAGGAGAAGCCGTATCTCTGCACCACCTGTGGGAAGAGCTTCTCATGGCGCTCGAATCTCAACGCCCACCGGCGCATTCACACGGGAGAGAGACCGTACGTCTGCTCGCACTGCAAGATGAATTTCCAGCAGAGTTATGACCTGAAGAGGCATCAGTGTTCCATCCATCCTGGTGAGTCCTCGGGGGGGATTAAACCCATATCACCTGCTCAGTTAAAAAGGGAGAGGAGGGGGTTTGGGGGCTGATTGGGCCAGATTTCGGTGAGGACCTGGCTGGGCATCCATGTCCCCATGGGCGGGGTGAGTGATGGCTCCTCCTGACTCCTCCTGGTAAATTACTTTTCCCTCCACTCATGGGTTTTCTCACCTTTTCCCCTCCCGGGTTCACCCACAGAGGGTGGGAGCAGCCAAGAGCCCAACCCTGCCCCATCCCGACCTGCCCCTTCTCCATTCCGAGCAGTCCCCATGTGGTGGGGGTAGTTTTGGGCATGTGAAATTGGGAATGAAGGGTGGGTGCTGGTCCAGGGTGAAGCAGGAGGAAGGATGGTGGAGGGATAGAGGAGGAGGAAGAGGAAGGATGGGGTACCCAGACAACACTTAAATGCTCTTTCGAAGGGACGTCTGCTGAAGCTCCTCAAGAAGGTGCAACCCAACCACAGAGTAGCTCCAGAGGGCCGGAGTACAAATGTGGGTGTTGTGGGAAGGTCTTCACCTGCAGGAGCAGCCTGAATCGCCACCAACGGTCCCAGACGCAAGATAAGTTGTTCAAGTGCCAGGATTGTGGGAAGAGCTACAGGCAAATTGGGCACCTCCACCGTCACCAGATTACACACATCGAAGCGAAACCCTTTCCCTGCACCACGTGTGGGAAACGCTTCTCCTATAGATCCAACCTCACTGTCCACCACCGCATCCACACTGGAGAGAGACCCTACGCCTGCTCCGTCTGCGGGAAGAAATTCCAGCGGCGTTCTCAAGTCCGAAAGCATCAAACTGCCCTTCACAATGGTGAGTCCTCGGCGGGGCCTTAACCCCGTATCACATGGTGCTCATCCCTAACATGGGGAGGAGGGGGGGTTATGGCTGGGGGTTGGCCACGTTTTTGTCAGGATGTGCCTGGGCATCCATCTTCCCATGGGCAGGGGTGAGTGGTGGCTTCCTCCAGTCTCCTCCTGACAAAATATTTTTACCTGCACCCACGAGTTTTCTCCCTTTTTCTCATTTTTACCCCTTCCGGGGTTCACCAGGACAAGAGTGCAACAATGCCCCGTTCTGCCCTGACCCATCTCCATACATAACCCACCTGGGGAGTAGGGGCGGTGAAAGTAGGGACCGATCGTGGCAATGTTCTGGGATGGAGGAAGAGTAAGGATGGAGGAGGGGGAAAGATGGAAGAGAAGCACGAGCATGAAGGGACGGACACACACACACACACACACACACACACACACAAACACACAGAGTCCCTGTGTCTTTACACCATCACGAAGGTTAGAATGGCTCCAGCAGCTGGCAGCACCATACTGTGGGGTACTGCTCTGGGTGGGAGGTGCTGGAGTAGGTGGCTGCTCTTCATGTGCCTTAAGAGCCCCCAGCTGAGCCCCTTTGCCCCCCCTACAGGCGCTGGGACAGAGGAGAAGAAGGAGGAGCAGTGCCAGCCCAGGGAAGAGCAGAGGGGGATGCTGCAAGGGCCCCAAGAGGAGCCCCAGAGCCCCACGGTGGCCGTGGAGCACGATGGCCAACAGCAGCCCCGTGATACGCAAGGGAGCCGCGGAACGAGGGGACCCAGAAAACGCTCTTCCAAAGGGACGTGTGGTGAAGACCCGACCCGACCACGTAGTAGATCCAGAACGAAGGAGCACAAGTGTGAGCAGTGTGCGAAAGTCTTTCGCTGGAAGAGCAACCTGACCCGTCACCTATGGACCCACAAAGGAGAGAAGCCCTACAAGTGCCAGGATTGTGGGAAGAGCTTCAGGGATAGCTGGTACCTCTTCAGTCACCAGAGGACACACACCAAGGAGAAGCCCTTTGTCTGCACCACGTGTGGGAAACGCTTTTCCTTTAGATGTAACCTCATTGTCCATGAAAACATCCACAGAAGGGAAAAACCGTACGCCTGCTCCCACTGCGGGAAGACATTCAGGGATGGATATCACCTCAGGAGGCATCAGGAATCCATCCACAGTGGTGAGTCCTTGGAGAGGTGTAACCTTGTATCCCATCGAGCTCATCCATAAAATGCAGTGGGTGGGGTTTGGGGCAGTT